CATAGCACATTGATTGGATGTACTGGGAGATGGCGGTCGTTTCGAATAAGAATAGCTAGGATAAAGTAGCCTGGAAATTTAGAATCTTAGAATATACCGCAAGGTAGTTATGTAAGGCATATTTTATTGATTACTTGAAGGCAGGAAAGGTAGTCAGAAAATAATATGAATTGCGTCATCGTCTTGTGTGTTACGAAATGGATTTCACCATGTTTGGTAAGTTGTTATGGCCTAGTCCACGTGCAGTGACAATGCCGTGATGTCGGGACAATTGAGTTCATTGCGTTTTCTCGCCGCCCTTGGAAAGGAGCAGTTGGCCAGCGTACCTTCAAACCACTTCCTGCTAAATCCTGATGTTGACGGTTGACAGAGATGACGATGAACTTCGATTAAAAAAGATTTCTAAACATTATGTTGTCATGAATGCAGTTTTCTTAAAAACCAAAACAAAGAAAACAAAGAAAATATACAGATGATAATATGTAATATTTAAGCTTTATTAACGTTCATCTCAGTGAGGTAAGTACAAACACTATCTTTAAACATAAGGTTTTGAATGCTAAACGTAAGCTTTTGTTTAGTGCTGTGATGCCAAAATCATTCAAATACAAATATGCCGTAGTTCCTCCCGGGTGTCTCAGCGTCGTTTGTGGGTCAGTGTGTATTGGAGGCCAAACGTCTAACTGAGGGCGATATCCATACCGTTTTGATGGGTTAACGGCAGCCGGTTTTGTGTTGTACAGTATGTAGACTATCAATGTATTCATGGATGTTGTGTGAAAAAGCTGAATGTAAGACGAGGTTTCAGTAGGAATATGAAAACTATTATAATCAGAAAACTGGATGTTATCGCTTGAGCTTCACATATGGCAGTTGTGTTATGTTTGTTGTTATATGCCGCACTCAGCAATATTCCAGCTACATGGCGGCGGTCTGTAAATAATCGAGTTTGGACCAGACAATCCAGTGAACAAAGAATGAACATCGAACTACACAGCTGGGACACGATGGCATGTGTCAACCACGTCAGCGAGTCTGTCAACCCGGTATATAATATGTACGAGGGGCGTTCAAAAAGTACTCAGCCTTATTATATTCTCGATGTCCAATGTTTGAAAAGCTTCCGTTTTATTTCCATTAGCAAAAACATATACAAACCTTCGCATATGTGGGTAATATTGTTATCGAGATATTAGTCATCACAACACATTGGGGTACAATATGTCGCAAAAAATAATTCGCAGGAAATGAAAAAGAAGATCTGTCAATAAATTTGACAATTCTTGGATAATGGTATGCCCACAGATAATATCATATAAAATATGTTCAGTATAGTATTGAATGGCTTCCCGTCATAATCAACATTTCAAAGATTTGGATTGTTTGATTCATACTTAGACGGGGCTGTTTTTTAAGGACATCCCCATTTTATTTTTTCAAAAACATTATGTCGAGATGTCCAAGCTGGCACTGTTTAAAATATATTGAGTGCTGATGCTTGTGTGACAATTCAGTATTTAACTTGAACCCTTGGCATCATGTATGAACAAGTGAAAACATTAGAGTAAGTTATGTCCTTATGATTACGTCATCTGAAAGGGGGTGGGTATTGTCTCCAAAACAAGCTCATTCAACAAACATGAAGCGGGGAATCACTTTAACAAGCGATTGTTGTATCAAATTGCTTGTTTACGCGCTTTAATATCTAAGTTTGATTCTAGCGGACTTCTAACTATTTAAAACACACAAAATGGTTCTTACATATTTTGTTTGCTGAAGGTGTGTGATGCATTTATTGCAGATTGGGGGGTACCAAGTTATAAAGTCAAATAAAATGGGGATCGTGAGGCTGGAACATAGCAAAACCAATTTGCTTGAGGATGGCAGATAATATGTAGAAAAATATAATATAAAAACAGCTGCATTTGTATCATTTGCTAGGTGAGCCTGACTTCTTTTTGAACGCCCCTCCTAACTGAACTCCCCAAGACGATTTGATCGTTTAAAAACTAGTGACATACTTCCATATTAAGACAGCTGATCTTTGATAACCTTTGTTTTATATTTACATATTTTCTGTTTTCAATACAATATGAAGCAAATAACAAGAATTAGATAGTCAGTTTGTTTCTAGTGACTTAACCGTGAGGGATTTACCTATCTGCTGAGTCGAACCCGGTCGTTGAATGAACACAGGTTTTACAATTCACATCCGTGTCGAGGTACCATAATACACACATTTGCTGGGAGCAGTTACGTTTAGAGTATTTCGTTTGCATAAAATTGTTGCCTGTCTCGTCAAATATTAATCACCATACTGCTGATCTCAATTTAAGCCTACTCTAGAGAGTTATAACAGTCTAAATATTAAAAAATCCTTTCTTCGTATAGAAACCAGCCTAGATTTCCCCTTTTATATCCTGTAGTATCGCCGCTCGTCACGCGCAGCTGTAGTTTCTTTAGCAAACATACGTGCAAGCATATAATTGCATAATACAGATAATGGTAAACGTTCCCGGGACACAGTTGTCAAGTCTGCAAACAACAATTTCAGCAGCGACATTTATTCTCTCGTAAATGCCATGGTCAAGCGCTGATAAGTATTTTTTCACCAGCTGGCGAATGTTTGACCACAGACTGCACCGTATTTGGGAGTCCCATCGTGTCGGTCAGTGTTGAGACCAGCTATGTTTTCTTAACACTTTCTTGTCTTAGTCACCTTCTTAAGTTTAAGACAGATAACATGTTTGGAAATTAGATTGAGTGAGTGAGTGAGTATGGTTTTACGCCGCTTTTAGCAACATTCCAGCAATATCACGGCAGGGGGACACCAGAAATGAGTTTCACACAGTGTGCCCATGTGGGGAAATAGACATATTGCTGTATTGTTCACCACGTGACATGCGTTCTATCAAATACAATTGTATTCTAGGCTATGAGGCCGAAATACTGAATAAATATTATATCATATCATATAATGTGGGGAAATAGAAATATTGCTGTATTGTTCACCACGTGACATGCGTTCTATCAAATACAATTGTATTCTAGGCTATGAGGCCGAAATACTGAATAAATATTATATCATATAATGTGGGGAATCGGGTCTTCGGCGTGACGAGCGAACGCTTTAACCACTAGGCTACCCCACCGCCCTGTGTTGTATATTCCAAAAGCGGACCCTCTATATCGAGGCTTGGCAGCATCTTGAATCTGCCCCCCAAACACCTCTTGGTATAGTTGTTGGTGCAATCGGTAGAGGATATTAGTCGATCCATCCTTATAGATGTCACTACTGTATTGCTTTTCTGGCACAAAGATCGAAGTGCCCTCCATACACTTTACATTCTTATAATTTTACATTTTATTCACAATTTATGCTAAAAACCTGACTGCAAGTCAAACATAAAACGCCAGTCAGTCTCAACTACTTTACACACTACATTACCTCGAGCGGAAAAGGCACAATAGGGATTAAACTTAACGCCTGATTTCACCGACCCGTAATGACATTTCCTCCAGGCTGTTTGTGATGTTAGTACAGCGATTGTCAAAACTCGATCTGCTGGACACGTGCGTCTTCCGTTACCATTATTGTTTCATGTGTTTTTACTTAAAAATATGGAAATCAAACAAACGATAACAAAACCACTTGTACTCCAGATAGTTGTGCCAGATAGTTGTACTCGTGCTAGATGTACAATAGCACGTTCAATTTCTGCCTCAGGCAGGTAGAGTAACGCGAAACAAGGCAAATGATATATGATTAATATCTGTACTGACCACACCAAAGTTTCCTGAAACTCCATAAATTGAAAATCATCATCTTTCTTGCCTGCACTTCACGAAGTCATGTTGCGCGTCCCAAGGTGTTTGATGATGTTATACATATAGTTCGTACTATAGTGTATACTTGTACGTGAGTAAACGAAATGAAACACTCATTTCCATTTGTAAGTGAGATTTTGTTCGTATGTGTTTACATGCAACAAGCATATTTTTTTTTTCATAAACGGAGCAAGACTAAAGAAGACATTCATTCAATGGGGAGAGACAACCGAGTTATTAGACGTAATTGCCACGTACCTCATATTTCATGAACAGTGAACATTACACAGTCCTATGCGGTACACTATGCGGTACACTGTGCGGTACACTATGCGGTACACTGTGCGGTACACTGTGCGGTACACTATGCGGTACACTATGCGGTACACTGTGCGGTACACTGTGCGGTACACTATGCGGTACACTATGCGGTACACTGTGCGGTACACTATGCGGTACACTATGCGGTACACTGTGCGGTACACTGTGCGGTACACTATGCGGTACACTGTGCGGTACACTCTGCGGTACACTGTGCGGTACACTGTGCGGTACACTGTGCGATACACTGTGCGGTACACTGTGCGGCACACTATGCGGTACACTATGCGGTACACTGTGCGGTACACTGTGCGGTACACTATGCGGTACACTGTGCGGTACACTGTGCGGTACACTGTGCGGTACACTGTGCGGTACACTATGCGGTACACTATGCGGTACACTGTTCGGTACACTGTGCGGTACACTGTGCGGCACACTATGCGGTACACTATGCGGTACACTGTGCGGTACACTGTGCGGTACACTATGCGGTACACTGTGCGGTACACTCTGCGGTACACTGTGCGGTACACTATGCGGTACACTGTGCGGTAAACTATGCGGTACACTGTGCGGTACACTGTGCGGTACACTGTGCGGTACACTATGCGGTACACTATGCGGTACATTGTTCGGTACACTCTGCGGTACACTATGCGGTACACTGTTCGGTACACTCTGGGGTACACTGTGCGGTAAACTATGCGGTACACTGTGCGGTAAACTATGCGGTACACTGTGCGGTACACTGTGCGGTACACTGTGCGATACACTATGCGGTACACTGTGCGGTACACTATGCGGTACACTGTGCGGTACACTATGCGGTACACTCTGCGGTACACTATGCGGTACACTATGCGGTAAACTATGCGGTACACTATGCGGTACACTATGCGGTAAACTATGCGGTACACTGTGCAGTACACTGTGCGGTACACTATGCGGTACACTGTGCGGCACACTGTGCGGTACACGATGCGGTACACTCTGCGGTACACTGTGCGGTACACCGTGCGGTACACTATGCGGCACACTATGCGGCACACTATGCGGTACACTATGCGGTACACTCTGCGGTACACTGTGCGGTACACTATGCGGTACACTGTGCGGTGCACTGTGCGGTGCACTCTGCGATACACTATGCGGTAAACTATGCGGTACACTATGCGGTACACTGTGCGGTACACTATGCGGTACACTGTGCGGTACACTATGCGGTACACTATGCGGTACACTGTGCGGTACACTATGCGGTACACTGTGCGGTACACTATACGGCACACTGTTCGGTACACTATGCGGTACACTATACGGTACACTGTGCGGTACACTATGCGGTACACTATGCGGTACACTGTGCGGTACACTATGCGGTACACTGTGCGGTACACTATGCGGTACACTATGCGGTACACTGTGCGGTACACTATGCGGTACACTCTGCGGTACACTATGCGGTACACTGTGCGGTACACTATGCGGTACACTATGCGGCACACTGTTCGGTACACTATGCGGTACACTATGCGGCACACTGTTATGTACACTATGCGGTACACTATACGGTACACTGTGCGGTACACTATGCGGTACACTATGCGGTACACTGTGCGGTACACTATGTGGTACACTATGCGGCACACTGTTCGGTACACTTTGCGGTACACTATGCGGTACACTATGCGGCACACTGTTCGGTACACTATGCGGTACACTATGCGGTACACTGTGCGGTACACTATGCGGTACACTGTGCGGTACACTATGCGGTACACTGTGCGGTACACTATGCGGTACACTCTGCGGTACACTATGCGGTACAGTATGCGGTAAACTATGCGGTACACTATGCGGTACACTATGCGCTAAACTATGCGGTACACTATGCGGTAAACTATGCGGTACACTGTGCGGTACACTGTGCGGTACACTATGCGGTACACTGTGCGGCACACTATGCGGTACACTGTGCGGTACACTGTGCGGTACACTATGCGGCACACTATGCGGCACACTATGCGGTACACTATGAGGTACACTCTGCGGTACACTGTGCGGTGCACTCTGCGGTACACTGTGCGGTACACTGTGCGGTACACTGTGCGGTACCCTCTGCGATACACTATGCAGTAAACTATGCGGTACACTGTGCGGTACACTATACGGTACACTGTGCGGCACACTGTGCGGCACACTATGCGGTACACTGCGGTACACTATGCGGTACACTGTGTGGCACACTATGCGGTACATTGTGCGGTACACTCTGCGGTACACTGTGCGGTACACTATGCGGTACACTGTGCGGCACACTATGCGGTAAGCTGCGGTACACCATGCGGTACACTGTGCGGTACACTATGAGGTACACTGTGCGGCACACTATGCGGTACACTGTGCGGCACACTATGCGGTACACTGTGCGGTACACTGTGCGATACACTATGCGGTACACTGTGCGGTATACTATGAGGTACACTGTGCGGTACACTATGCGGTACACTGTGCGGTACACTATGCGGTACACTGTGCGATACACTGTGCGATACACTATGCGGTACACTGTGCGGTACACTATGAGGTACACTATGCGGCACACTATGAGGTACACTGTGCGGTACACTATGCGGTACACTGTGCGGTACACTATGCGGTACACTGTGCGGTACACTGTGCGGTACACTATGCGGTACACTGTGCGGTACACTATGCGGTACACTATGCGGTACACTATGCAGCACACTATGAGGTACACTGTGCGGTACACTATGCGGTACACTGTGCGGTACACTGTGCGGTACACTGTGCGGTACACTATGCGGTACTCTGTGCGGTACACTATGAGGTACACTATGCGGCACACTATGAGGTACACTGTGCGGTACACTATGCGGTACACTGTGCGGTACACTATGCGGTACACTGTGCGGTACACTGTGCGGTACACTATGCGGTACACTATGCGGCACACTGTTCTGTACACTATGCGGTACACTATGCGGCACACTGTTCGGTACACTATGCGGTACACTATACGGTACACTATGCGGCACAATTGTGAGAGTGGGATTTCTGGTATTCGATCAGTCTACAATTTGTATCAGAACACTGTTTATGGTCAGTCATGACGCCATGACGGTTAACAGTGTTTCATCACCTTGCATCAACACAGGTAGTCACGACGGACTTGACCTGAGATATGACGCAATTCGGACGCTAGTGCTTCACAGTGTGTGGGTTCGAATCCCAATGGGACTCAACCTAACACAAGAACTAGAATCTGTACTTTTCTGAGAAAGTGTAATCCCAAATGTTACATTTGACCACTTTCTAAATGGCATTGTGTGTATTCATAACGTGCACTTCGCATTCTCCAAGCAGATTCCTAGAGGAGAGATCGTGAATAACCAAGCTGAATGACGTATGGATACCGGTTCTCATCTATAGGTCCGTACAGAGTCTACCACTCCTGGGGATGTCCTGGATATGGTCCGTGTGCCCTTAATGTGGCTCTAGACCCGAGAAATCCTGTCACGTGGCCATGTATAACTCCCATCTGTATCATGCTTATTGCCTCGTCTCTTCTTTCGACAGTCTTGGCATGGTCGTTGTTTGGCTGATTTGGGAATAACAGACGTTAGGTACACATCTTCCACACACTAACTGACCGGACACCGTAGAGCTTCCACTAATGTTGTACAGTATTTCGTCAGCATGATTGAGACTTTCAGAAGCCTGCGTATCGGGTGCATTTTGGTGATAAAACAAGATTTTATTTTCACTATCACAAATTGTAACTTAAAGTTTAGTATACCTTCTTTTGTCACTGAGTGTGCCAATATCTACTGCCCAAACCAAGTACGGTGTGTATTGTTTTGAGGTGAAACACACAGGAAATTAAATGAAGAAGGCAAGAATATTTCAGAAGAAATTAAGCATCGAAACACAACATTGACCTCGGGTATGCCAGGTTTACCATTGTCACTCAGACTCGTGAACGGACGCATAATAACTTTCTTGGAAGCAAACCAAAACCACTCTATTCGAGGTAATCGACGTTCAAGTGCCATAGGCATATTGTGGGTTGCACAGGACTGAATATTGTTGCCCAAACGCTGCATGTTTCTCAACCTGTCAACAGCAGATTGTGGACCCGAAAACAACAAACACATAAGGTTGATGATCTGGACGCCCAAGGGCAATAACTCCAACCCTGGACAGATTAGGCTGAGCAATGGCATTAATAAACTGCCACTCGGAGAAGGATCAGCTGAAACAGGCAACTGGCGTGTGAGTACATGCCCAGATTGTACAAAAACGGCTTAACATACGACAAACACAACGTATACGTTTCATTCCACAAATTACTGCATGTCATTTTAATCGAAGTCGACAGAGCTGTACAAACACCATTCTAACGATTTAAGATTCTTCTTGATTTCCATGACCGAAAGAAATGCGTTTGGAGGCGTCCTAATGAGCGTTTTAAGGACGTTTACGTCGAACGGAATGATGGTTTTGGTGGTGGATCCATGAGGGTGTAACACAATCGCTGGCTTAACTGCGCTCCATCTTATACATGGCAGAGGTACAAGTCAATAACTTGACAACAGCGTCGTTTCACCACTCGCCGTGACATTTAAACAACGTGCTGGGCAAAGTTTCGTCTTTAGAGATAATGCAGGTTCTTATAGTGTCAGGATGGCACCTCAATCCTCCAACAGCAAATTGCACGTCCAGCAGCTCTCACCCCTAGCCTATCCCCCACTGACCACGAGTGTGACGATACTGACAGACAGGGTACGCTAATGTCAAAATATATCCATCACTCTCAATGACCCCGTTGCTGCTCTCACTTATCAATAGAACAAAATGACTTAGGGTGACACTAGTCGGCACATCCTAAGCATGCCTCGACGTATTCGTGCATGTCTGACCAAGAGTCGTGACTTGATTCGATTTTAATAGGGTTGGCTGTAAAATGTAAATGTTGAATTTGGCCATACAATGTGCTGCCATTTCACCAAACCCACTGTAGAAACCCATTTGATCTCATCGCCTACCCTCCGGCAGAATATCTGTAAACTTGGGACCAGGGAGGCTGGGATTCAAGTCCGCTGGCTTCTTCAATAGATTTGGAAGGTGGAGCTCCACTAAACAACTTGTGGGTTGGGCTGTGGGGAAGCCCATTATATACCAACTTCATAACTTCATTATCAGTTGGTGGGTGTCATATCATTAAACACATGAAGACGTGTCCTCGGCTTCACACTGGGTTGGCATATATACTTCCTTTCAAAAGTTTAGACTAACTGAAAACACTCACTATATGTTATGGATATGGTTACATCGAAGATTGATTTCTCCACTAACTTGGGGGAACTAACGGCAAACCTTATGCAGATGAATTGCACGAGGATCATGCATCAAATTGCTGAAAAGCATGTGCAAATATCGTGCATGTGAACAGCTGCGTTTTGGTGTAAAGTTTTGTTAAGAATTCGCCAATATTCACTGATTGTTATCATGTACTGAACTCAAGACAATAATCTTTTCAACGTTACAAATTTGTTTTACAACACATCAGGTCAAGTGTAAACAGTACCCTTAAACTGTATGGAATGTTTTGCAAAATTTAGTTTAGAACACTTGCTTGAAGTAAGTGGTTATATTTACACTATTAAGTCTAAACTTTTGAAAGGAAGTATATAGATGGTATGTGTGTAACACAATCGATAACAAGATTACGTGTCTCTGTACACTTTTATGGTTAACAGACCTGTGGATAAATTATGATGCACCGTTTCGCTATAAATACTTATTAAGCCTTTATCGAGCAGAACAGTTGATACTAGAATGATGTTGTAATCCATAAAACTATCTTGCTTTTACTGGTAACAGTAGTGCAAGATAACAGTCTACAAAAGTCACAACCAGTACAATGTTATCAGCCACCACCATCTGTAGTCAGCCCTTGTGATCAGTACAGTTCTTGCTAGGTAAAGGAACTCCTCCTGCACACCTTGCCCGACCATGGCTTCAAAGGAAACACTTTGGACGATACAGTCATTAGAGCTGTTCAAAGTGGTGGCACTTTGCGAACCTAAACGTTAATTGCATTTTTTGTCAGCAGGTGCATTCAGGAACGAAATAGATCTGTGACGATCCGGGTTAGAATAGATCTTCAGTAACCCATTCTTGCCGTAAGAGGTGACTCAAGGGATCGGGTGGTCAGGCTCGCTGACTTGGTCTACAATTGTGTAGACCGATGTTCATGCTGTTGGTCACTGGGTTATCAGGTCCAAACACGATTATTTGCAGACAATCTCCATATAGAGTGCGGCGTAAAACTTAACTCACTCATATAGGTCTTATATATGCTGTATAAATTGACTAATATTTTAACTACGAATGGAGTAGCCAG